GGGAAACGAACGTTACGGCCCAATGAGAAGACTGGAAGGAAGACAACATCAACCTGTATGTATGAGTTGGGGAAACTTTTTGCTATCATTCGTAATAAGTAAGATCCACTACATGAAAATGTTATCATGGGTTGAAATATTCGTCGGCTGATGTTTCACTTCTGTCCTTTACCTTGTGCTGATTAAGTTCACTCACCAGAAGAGCGGTCCCCACAGATGACACACAGTCGTTTCTGAGACAACATTATTCCCGGGCTGTGAGCCTGCATGGGCCTCAGGCCAAACGGAGGCTTGATGTCTTCTGAGCTGCTGACAGAGTGCATCCCTGATATAGGCGCTGACGATGAAATCTGGGTACGATTGCAACCAAATAAAACAAGGGAAACAATGTAACAATGTCATTATTTGTATGTAATGGCCAGACAGTATTTTCCACCAATTTGAATAACTGGAGGCTAGGGCTGTCAAAATTAGGCAAAGAAAAAACCCAAAAACAAAACAAAAAACACTGTTTATTCCTTCGAAAATATCTTCAAATATCTAAATTATATCCACAAGAAGGCAGATTGATAAGAGACTCATTCTTACTTTTGTGAGTGCATTTAAACTGGGATAATTAGTGTGGATATTTAGCTCTGGTCACTGGGAAAAAAACGCGTATACCCCAAATGGATGACAAAAACCTGATGGCTGTTTCTAGATGAAATTGATCGTGTGCTACACTAAAAACCTCCAAATTTTGAGTTCACACTATAACTTTGAGTTTCTCACCATCACCTATTCATGTATATCTACTAATTAAGGTATCTTATGTTGTTCTGATTTTTCCACATAATATGGCATAAGTCATGTGAACAGCGAAATACTAAGAGTCACAGCTACTGATTTAACAACTTTTACTCTGCAATATCCAGCGGTGCATCCTACACAGCTTATGACAGACACTATTTCTTAGTTATTTTCATTTTTTCACATAAATACAGAAATATTTTCATAATCAAATGCCCTTTTGTTATTAGCACTAACTGTGACAATTTTTGCTTACAACGCCTTCTGTTAGGAGCCATTATTCAAAAATGCCTGCCTCTATAAGTGGAGTAATGTAAATAGTCAGTAAAGTGTTTTGTTTTTTTCCACTACAGTGTACCTTAAGTGGCTGTGTATATTCGGCCCAGTTTAAACAAGCATCATGGCTCTCAGGCTACAAAATTAAAAATAAGAGTTAAGTGCACTGTGACATCAGTACAATACATACACCCTCATGCATATGAATTACCTGACTGTTGCTGATGGGTCCAAATCCCAGAGAGTGTGGCACCACTGGGGAGTTAAGTGAGGGACTGATGACTGAAAACGGAGATCCTAAGATGCTGGTGGGGCTGTTGGAGGCTGAGCTGTTAGGTTGCTGTGAGGACATGGCTTGTAAGCTGCCCGCTGAAAAGAAAAACGTCCCGTTCGAAGGATATCAATCTGAAAGTGATAAAAAAAAAAAAGGGATATAATAAGCTATGCAAACCTTTCTGATCGATCTTGATTAAAAGATAACAGAGACTGACTTTGACAATTATTATTTTGAGCTAAAGTTGCCAAACATGATTTGGTTGCAACTTCTCAAAAAAAAAAAAGAAAAAAAAAGGAAAAAAAAGGGGGGGGGGGTGTATTTTGTTAATCATTACACATTTGGTGTCTTTCAGTTCTCAAATGTTGAGAGTTTGCCAAGATTACATCATTATTTCTCCCATTTCAGAAATAAAGTAGTGGAAGTCTTATAGCTGCGATTGCATTAAGTGGCAGAGAAACCAATTTTCCATAAGTGAGTTATATGGGCAGAAATCTGTGCCATCAGAAACTAAATTTGAATAAATTAAATTTGAATTGCTCAGATTAAATCTGAATTGTAATTTGAATAAATGCTTTTGAAAACTGAATTTGAATTAGTCTAATTTGAAATTTAGTTTATGGTTTGAAAATGATCATCACTAAATTGAAATTGAATTTTATATTTTGAAAATGAATTGATTTGCTTTGAAACTGCATTTTATCCTTTAAAAATTCAGCTCTCGAATAATTTCAGTTTCACTTCTCACCATTCAGTTTCAGTTCTACAATTCAATTTCAGTTCCAAAATTCAGTTTTTTGGAACTTACATCCGGTTCCGGTTCAAGCGCAGATTAATAGAACTACGTTTTACTAGCGGACCGAAAGTGTTACTGACGGGAATCTACAGCGTCTTGAGCTGAATTAAGACTTCAGAAGTCATTCGTCATGTCGAATGACCAGCGGATAAACTCTCAGGTTGGTAATAAATGTATTACATGTATAAGAACAAGCGTCATGTTAACAAATGATAGCCGTAAGGTAACTTTTATGCTTATTGTAGCTGCTAGCTAAAAACGCTAATTTAGCGTAGTTTGCCCTGAATTCAGCTTTGACAACAAATATGATCGACTGTTTCTAGTAGAATTCCAAAGTTGTCATCTTGGACCCTCTCAGAGTACCCCCTCTGTATGCTTGCAGAGACCCCTACAGTAGGGAAACATGCAAAACGGTGTCCAAACCTTTGTTTTTAGCTTTATTTATGTCTTACACAGCATCCCCCTTTAGCAACAATAACTTTAGCTAAAGTGAATAGTTAGTCTAATTCATTAGTGCAGCATTACTGGATCACCTCTGTTTGAAGTGATATAATATGATATACAACTATCACTGTGTTTAACTACCATAATAATTCTTAGGGTACTGAGTGCATGCTTAATTAGATTTTTTTTTTAAACATACTGCTCCATTATATGTTTGACAGTCAAGTCGCTGTAGATTCCCGTCAGTAACACTTTCGGTCCGCTAGTAAAACGTAGTTCTATTAATCTGCGCTTGAACCGGAACCGGATGTAAGTTCCAAAAAACTGAATTTTGGAACTGAAATTGAATTGTAGAACTGAAACTGAATGGTGAGAAGTGAATCTGAAATTATTCGAGAGCTGAATTTTTAAAGGATAAAATGCAGTTTCAAAGCAAATCAATTCATTTTCAAAATATAAAATTCAATTTCAATTTAGTGATGATCATTTTCAAACCATAAATTCAATTTCAAATTAGACTAATTCAAATTCAGTTTTCAAAAGCATTTATTCAAGTTACAATTCAGATTCAATCTGAGCAATTCAAATTTAACTTATTCAAATTCAGTTTCTGATGGCACAGATTTCTGCCCATAGAGTTAGCTGGCCACGTACAAATCTATAACCATAAATCACTGAACATAAAAAGTCCGTTTATTTGGCAATAACTCAAAAATACTTCACCCCCCCCCCAAAAAACAAACAAACAAACAAGCAAGCAAATCACCCCTCCTCAAAAAACTGGACAAATAAAAGGAAAATAATTCTCGTGGCAGGTAATGTTTGTACGTACAAATATTTGCTTACATTAATCAGTGTGCGTTAGCGTTTCATGTTTGCCAAAATGTTGCTAAAGGTACGCAGCAGCGCTACCGCCGAGTCACTATTAAGTACATACTAGACCTTATTAGAACAAAAAGCAAATACATTGTCCGTAGTCTGTAAAAACTACAACGCCTAACTAACTACAACAAATACACAATGTCGGAGTTTGCCTTTATCGATAGCTCGTTAGCTGCAAATCTTCGGCTTCAAAGATCCATGCTATACAACAACATTAGCAAACATTAGCTTTGGTTTTCACACGTCTAAGTGATACTACCTTCTGTAGTTTTTTGTAAAACTGGGATATAGCAAACAGACCTTGTTTCGCATCTAAAAATGTTGCGTAATAATCGACAGTCCGCAAATGAATCCGCTCGACCTGCATTTGCTAAGATTAGCTTGTTAGCTTAATTTACGGCTAATATAGCCAACATTAGCTCGATGCTAGATTCAGGGGTAATACCCCAAGGAAGCGACTGTTCACAACTACCTCATGGTTGTTGGAAGGTTAGAATTACATACCAGACACACCTTCGAAGCATTGTTGAGAATCACTTCTAGATAAAGGCCGAGTCTCAGACACAGTTTGCTTCGGTCAGAAGCTGTTGTTGTTTACAGGCCATGATGGCTCAGTGCCACAATCGACTTGAGCCAAAATGTCCCACGGGACCACCCATAACAGCACCGTCATATGACACCCCTGCTGCAGAGGTTCAGCTTGATTTAGTATTTAATCACAGCTAATTTGGTTGGCGATTATCGCGTCACAATTGTATGCAGTATTTGAGTTTAAATAATATCTATCTTCTCAATATATACTGTTATCAAATTCAGCACACTACGCTCCAAAAATACACGACATCAAAAGGCCATCCGTGATGCGTTCAAGAAACACTGAACATTTCATACCTGCACAAATACAAGCGAGCGATTGTTTTGGGTATGATAGGGGGAGTGGTAAACAAAAATGTAAGTAAACAGTAGTAAATTCAGCCAGAAACTGTGTGTGGTTTTCGCGTAGCCCAATTATGGCATGCTATTATTTAAGAATCTGAGCAAGCTGTTTTAAACAGCCACACCTACAAAAAGAGTTGGAATGTTTTCCCTTTGACAGAAGGAAGGGGTATATACAGTATTGCACAACTTGTTCTTGCACCAGTGATTTATTTGTGCAGTAATATTTTCCACTATTCAAAATATTGAACACAGTGTTCTGTTCTTCTAAAGACCATTTTTGTCCAACGTTTTTTCTCCTGGGCTGGAGAATGACTTGCACTTTTGTTCTCATGAATTAGTTGCACTGCCTCCTAAAACCTCAAAAGCTGAGGTTCAGTTTATTTTGTACCATTTGCAGGACATTTTACAAGCAAAACAAATTTGTTTTATTTCAGTTAGAACAACTAGACATTGACACCTGCATTCTAGACCTACCTGGTGAATATTCTCATATAAATTCATCTCAACAAACAAGAAAACTCATATGGCCTACAGTATGCAGGCAATCAAAATAAACTTGAAAAACTGCTTTGCTTTTTGTTAGTTGGTGAGAAGGTGGCTGTTAACAAGCCAGGTGGCATTCCTCCTGCAAACACTGTGCTGCCTGAAACTGCTTGCACCTTATAGGAGCAGCAGCTGATCAGAACAGAGCAATATGGTGAGCAGTATTATATGTGTAACATCTTTTGGCTTGTTACTTTGCAGTTTGTCATCATGACTGAAAACAATAGACTAACCACGATGAAAAGGACCTCTGCTGCTTATTTGACTTTTTTGTCAGGTTAGTATGATACATTTGTATTTACAATTTATATAAATTTAGCTATATAAAGTTTGATTAAACATAACATGATGAAAAAGAAATATTTTTTCTGTACTTCCACAGTTTTTTGCTTTTTCACACTGGGATCTTCAGACTTTCACCATATTACTCTCACTGAGAACTACACACAAGCCAAGAGTTATTGCAGAGATATGTACACTGATTTAGCAACAATTTACAACTTAGAAGATATGAATAATCTGGTTTCTTTAGCTTCAAATATAACTGAAAACACTTGGATAGGACTGGAGATCGGAGCTGTGTGGATGTGGCATTGGTCTTTGCCTGGTCAATTAACAGATTTTTTTAAGTGGAAATCAGGAGAAGTAATAACAAATAATCAAGAAGAATGTGCAGCATTGGATCAATTTGGTGGGTGGTTTGTCAGTGCCTGTGGAGTTCTAAGAAAGTTTGTTTGTCAAGGTAAGTAAAATTACAATAATTTATTTCAGAGATCAATAATAACAATAATACTACTAATAATACATTTAATTACATTACAGGGACACATACTGGTGATTTCATTTTTGTTAATGAGTCCAAATCGTGGTGGGATGCTCAGAGTCATTGCAGGGGCTTGCCATCTGATCTAGTTAGCATACACTCTGAAGCAGAGAATATGGCAGTGCTCAACGTGTCTGCATCACAAACTGTCTGGATTGGGCTGTTCAAAGATCCCTGGAAATGGTCGGATGGAAGTAACTCATCTTTTCGTTTCTGGAGAGCTTCTCAGCCCAGCTATCTTCCAAATCAGGATTGTGTTGCTGCAGTATTTCAAGATAATGGGAAGTGGAATAAGCAAAGCTGCAGTAACCAACTCAATTTTGTTTGCCATGGGGGTAAGTTTGTGTTATTTATTTATAAATTGTATGTATTTACTATGTCAGTAAAATTATATTATAACTTTTTGTTTTCTATTACACAAGACACAACAATCTATATCTGTCCACTCATTACTCACTTTTACATCAGGGAAATCATTTTCAACACTGCCATTCACAATAGACAGTGACCTGTAATTGAGACAAATGTACTTCATATTAATTTGATTGCAGCTGCTGCTACCAAACAGTCAAGCACCATTACCACAACAGAAGGAACAGCTGCAGGTGGAGTGAGAACACCAAATACCACAGAGCTTATGTCACCTACATCAAGTACTCATCTCCAAAGTACAACTACAGAAATGTCATCTTTGACACAGCCACCTCCTGCAACTACTGTGAATTTAACTACGGGTGGTGACTCTATATTAACAACCCCGGGAGGAATTTCAGCCCAGATCTCAACAACACAGACAGGGATTTCAGTCCCAAACACCACAGAACATATAGAGATTTCATCCCAGAACACTGCAATACAGAAAGAGACTTCAGCCCAGAACACTACAGCATACATAGAGACTTCAACCCCAAACACTACAGCATACATAGAGACTTCAACCCCAAACACTACAGCATACATAGAGACTTCAACCCCAAACACTACAGCATACATAGAGACTTCAACCCCAAACACTACAGCATACATAGAGACTTCAACCCCAAACACTACAGCATACATAGAGACTTCAACCCCAAACACTACAGCATACATAGAGACTTCAACCCCAAACACTACAGCATACATAGAGACTTCAACCCCAAACACTACAGCATACATAGAGACTTCAACCCCAAACACTACAGCATACATAGAGACTTCAACCCCAAACACTACAGCATACATAGAGACTTCAACCCCAAACACTACAGCATACATAGAGACTTCAACCCCAAACACTACAGCATACATAGAGACTTCAACCCCAAACACTACAGCATACATAGAGACTTCAACCCCAAACACTACAGCATACATAGAGACTTCAACCCCAAACACTACAGCATACATAGAGACTTCAACCCCAAACACTACAGCATACATAGAGACTTCAACCCCAAACACTACAGCATACATAGAGACTTCAACCCCAAACACTACAGCATACATAGAGACTTCAACCCCAAACACTACAGCATACATAGAGACTTCAACCCCAAACACTACAGCATACATAGAGACTTCAACCCCAAACACTACAGCATACATAGAGACTTCAACCCCAAACACTACAGCATACATAGAGACTTCAACCCCAAACACTACAGCATACATAGAGACTTCAACCCCAAACACTACAGCATACATAGAGACTTCAACCCCAAACACTACAGCATACATAAGGACTTCAGTCCAGAACACTACAGCATACATAGGGACTTTAGCCCAGAACACCACACATTCCTCAATCGTAACGGCCAGTGTAATCAGTCAAAATTTGCACCCAGGTATGTTTAAAATTTCACATCTTTGATTTTTTTTTTGCATTACAAATTATGCAATTAAGTAATTCTCTTCACGTTTTCTTTCAGAAGGAAACATGATATTAATTCAAGAAAACATGACATGGATTGAAGCTTTGAGTTACTGCAGGAAACATTATTTTGATCTTGTTGACATTAAGACCAAAAACATACAGGACCAGGTTGCTCAAAAGGCAAAGAATGCTACATCATCCTATGTGTGGCTGGGTCTACGCTACACTGTTCAATTTAATTTTTGGTTCTGGATTAGGTCAACGTCTAGCTGTTACCAGAACTGGTTACCAGGAGAAGGACCTCAAAGGGATTATGGCAGTGCTGTTAGTGGTGCCATGGAGGCCACTGGGGGGCAGCAGTGGGTAGGTTTGCCCGAGACAGAAAAACTGAATTTTATCTGCAACACATGTGCTGGATGAATGAGGGCCAGTGCCTCTTAATGTAATGCAAATGTTAACATTTTCATTGTGCTGTATGAAAAAATTAACACATTTTCCTATACTGACATGTGCACCCCTTGGTTTAAAATTCATGCTGTGTTCAGTTACACCATCAATCCAGTGAACCTTGGGGGCCGTGATCCTGATTGTTTCAATGCTAAGTTATGACATATCTCTGTTGAAATACAGCTGCCTCCTCTGTTGTTAATATTGAATTTAAATAGATATGAAAATGTTTTTTAATCTTTGCATTTAATGAATATGACATTTTCTACATGTGTCATTTACAAGAGCAGGCATCGTTTAATCCCTCACCCAGCCGGCCGAACAAGAGGAAAAAAAAGTAAATGGTAAATGGCCTGTATTTGTATAGCGCTTTACTAGTCCCTAAGGACCTCAAAGCGCTTTACACATCCAGTCATCCACCCATTCACACACTCGTGATGGCAAGCTACATTGTAGCCACAGCCACCCTGGGGTGCACTGACAGAGGCGAGGCTGCCGGATACTGGCGCCACCGGGCCCTCTGACCACCACCAGTAGGCAACGGGTGAAGTGTCTTCCCCAAGGACACAATGACCGAGACTGTCCAAGCCGGGGCTCGAACCGGCAACCTTCCGATTACAAGGCTTGAGCCACGATCGCCCACTCGCCCAAAAGAAAAAATGTTTCTGCTTTATAGGCGTGCACATTCACATTTATGGGCAGCAGGAAAAATGTGGGAAAATTGATCATCTATGTGCCTTTCAACTTGGGGTTACTATTTGCATGTTGACCCCCTTGGCTGGGGCCGCGAGTTTGTCAGCCCAGTATGGCCCTGATCCATACTGCCTGCTGCACTCACTGGCCTGACATTCGCTGGCCACTCAGAAGATCTGCAATACAGACGTTCACCCTCCTTCCTTTACCCTTGAGGTACACAGAGAATTGATAAACCACGGAAGCAGGACATGATGAAGCCTTATTTAATATGATAAACTGTATATAAATTTTATCTATTGCAGAATTGCATATGTCAAAGAAGTTGATACAAAATAGTATGTTTTGTATGTTTATCTGTTTTTATATACATAACAAAATGTCTTATTTTTTTTAAGTAAATAAATAATCCCTCCAAATACCTGTGTTATTCTTTATCAATTTATAAATGATTATATCTCCTTATATAGCTCCTTGATATCACAAATGAAACCATACAACACAGGAAATATCTTGTGCTTGATACCATAATTTATTATATCTGCTGTCAATTAAAAAACATTAAAAATCAAATAGTGATATTAGGCATGCACCACGATGAGCAGCTAATCTACTAAATTATAGAAAACATGCATTCATTTGCAAATATTACATTTTCTAATACCTTTCTAGAATGTTAGCACTGGTTTATGTTTTATTAGTATCTAAGAACATTTGCAGTGTGGATTTCAATAACTCCATAAAGTCAGTAAATAGCAGCTTGAAATTCACTGCTATATCTTTTTTAACTGCTTTTGCATCCAAGATGAAAATCATGTCACTTCTCAATTCTACGGATCATTACACAAGTGTGTCACAGGTTTTCCCTGATCAGCCATTGGTCAGTGAGTCTCCCATCAGTTCAATGTTAATGTTCCAATAGGGCGCAGTCAGTCAATCAGTCTGTGGACTACTCCCTCCCCTCCTTTTCTCACCCTCATCTCCTCTTGTGTGCTGTCCAGCTGGCTCTGACCCCTGACCTTTCACCCTCACTCCTGACCTTTGGCAACATTCCCACGCCACACCCTTTTGTGCAAATCTCTCCATCCTAAACCACTGGTCACTCCCTCTGAATTTTAAGAGATTATGGTGAAACATGATGCATTTCCACTGCGATCAGTGCAATACAACCTAATTTGGCCTAATCCCAATTCAAGTGTGAGATGTGAAACTTACAAAGCAATCTGAGGGTGTGGAAAGTAACACAACAAAAAATATATCTAGTGATTTAGTCTAAAAACTATACATATAATGTTCAATAAATCTAAAATAGCAACTAAACATTGCAATTAATCAATGCAATCTCTGCAAAGTAGTGCAAGGTTTATCCAAAATTCATCCATAGATGTGGTCAGCAAACACACTTCAATTTGGGCAATATTTTTGATATTCAAATTTAAGAAAATTTCACGTCTTCATGTCTTACTACCTGCCTTTGACTGCCCTATCTTTCCTCTCTCTCCATACCTTCTGTTAGTGTGGAGCCCTATGCAGATCCCACCCTTCTGTCACTTTCACAGTTAATTGTAGAAAAGGAGATTTTCTTCATTGAAGCCCAGTCTCTTAGGTAACCTCACTCCTGCATGAAATGAGATGGACATCGGTGAAGAGACAGAGAGGGGGACAAGGGACAGGCAAAATGAACGAGAAGTAGTGGAAGATGGATGCAGAGGAAAGCGGACTTAGAAATATTTATTAAAAACACCCTCAAAAAGTAAGAAAAAAAATAGCTTAATGTTCCATGTGCATATGGATACATGATTAATAACAACTTCTCTGGGACTATAATTACTATATTGTTGATGGTGCATTATGTAAGTATTGGAATAATTAATTTTTTCACTTTAACTCATTAATAAGCTGGTTCACAGATTTTTTTAAAAAAAAATGAATATTTAAACATTTTTGAAGCATTTGAGAGTTCAATACCACATTTCTACCCATGGCTTATATTTTAATTATCAGTCTGCTGACAGGCTACAAATTTTTGAAAGAACTCTGCACATTTTATCATAGCTATTTTTCTATGTGTTACAATTAATCTTCCAGGGTATTTTATCAAACCATCCACTGCAGGACTGAATCCCAAGCCTAAAGGTTGCTGTGACTGTTCAACCAAAACTTGACAGGGAGTCTGGTGTTGATTGTCCAAACGCAATTCTTGTATTTAATATCCATATCCAGGAGTTGTGGCTGGACATCATGCTCCCAACTCTCATTCTCTACCTCCTGCAATAGCGCAGAAGTCAACAGAGGAATTAACTGACTGTCCAAAGACTTGACTTCATGGTAACTGTTCTCCTGCTCTGTTCTGGATGACTCTCCATCTCACGAAGTTAATCAGTCATGGCATGTATAGTTAGAGCAAGTGAAAACAAATAATGAACTCTAAAGGCCAAAAAATGCCGAAAAGATTTACTTTTTCAAGTGGACCATTAAGGCATTTGCTATAATGGTTCAAGTGATAGTCATGTTATATTTGAACTTTATTGGCATTTTTATTTAGAGTTATAACAACCACAAGAACTTGGTTCTCAAATTAAAGTCACTTTTGGTAATTTCAGTTAAGTCTTCAGAGGCAGGACTGTGGCATATCATGTAATTATTGTGGGGTTTACTTTTTCTTTTCTTTTACAATTCTGTATAGAAGTCTGTGTTAATAATTTGTTTTAGGAGAACATTATACTAACCTGACAAATTTAATCGGAATTAAGGTATTCAATATTTACATGGATGTTTGTGTTTATATTTCCACAAGAGTCGTTTGTGCGAGTGAATATAATGCTGCATTAATGTTAAGTTGAACTTTTAATTTAATTCCATTGTTCGTATGTTTTAAGCTTAAATTGATCTAATAACTATAATAATGATGTTTAACATAGAATGTCACAATGTGCTTTGCTGACTTAGAAAATATATAATGAATGAAATATTTTCTTTTATCAAGCTGTTTGTGTAGAAAAATAAAGTTTTAGATATCATCTCAGTCTTTGTCATTATTACCAGAGCCACTCAATTTGCAAAAGACTGGCTGTTTAAAGGGGAACGATCAATACACAAATATGGATCATGTACAGTGTTAAATGGGACACTTTAGTTATTATTAATAGGAGATTAAAAATACTCTGATTTGCTCAAAGAAAAGAAGCTGCTGTTACCAAGAATAATGATGAACATAACTGATTATTTGTAAATCATTTATAAACCATTTGTTTAGTGTGACAGGTATGGGAGGGGGAACTTGATTTCTTGTAAATCACATGCGGGAAATCTGGCTTGAACTGAGATGGTTACACATTGTGAAAGAAAGGAATAAACACTTTCCAGGCAGCAAGCCAAGCAGGGATATAAAAAGGATTTTTTTTAATTAAACATCTAGTGCTCAGAAATGTTGGCCTGAGGGTCTATTGTAATATGCAAAATTAAAATCTATGTTTTATGTAAATCTGTACAGATTAAGTATATTTTTAACACCAAAATGTTCACACTATGGAAATCACATGTATGTTACACATCTGCGCACATCAGGACACATGCTACATCTAGTAGTATTAAACTGTTATCATATTATGTCTTGAGTGTCATGTAGTTTTATCACTTTAAGATGCAATAGATGTTTTTTCAGCTCAAGCTGGAAAAACAAACCACGGGGAGGGCATTGATAAGATCCAAATGTTGTGAAATACAGGGGTGGATGACTAACAAAACCTCAGTTAATCTAAAGTCTGTGTGAAAGCAGGCAAAGAAATCAAAGCAGCGCGATGAGGTGCCACATTTTTGTGATACTGCTCCTAATATGGATCGTGGAGTGTTCAGCGCAAAACAGGTAAATTTAGGAAGAACTAAATGTGATGTTTTAATGCGATGTTGACTCATTTATGATTGTTATATAGAAGATTGACATTATAGATTAAATAAATTTAATTAAATAAATTACATGTATTAGTATTCCCATATATCTTTCCTAAGACTCAACTTGAGTTCATGTTGTAGATAATACTGAACATGCAGCACTGCAGATTGCATAGTTATCGAAAAATCATTTAATGGGAAATAGATTAATGAATGATGCAGCAAACACTATCTTTCATTTTTGTGTGCAGATTCATCATCTCAGCCCCAAATGTGTTTCATGTGGGTGTTAATGAGAAAGTATTTGTCCAGATGGAAACTTGTAACAGACCTGTTAGTCTCTACCTGGAGGATGAGGTTTCTAATACTATTTTGTCTGAGAAGGGAAATGCTTCATGCAGAGAGAAGACAGAACTAGTTAAGCTCAAGGTATGCAAACTTCACCAGAAAGTAAACAATACAGACATTTCAATTTTATTTATATAGCACCAAATCACAACAACAGTTGCCTCAAGTTGCTTAGACAGAACAGAGTAGCAACTACCCACTTTACCCTAACTTTATAATTTACGTCTTTACAGCTAAACATGGATTCTTTGTTAAGATTGCCTCAATTTCCTTCTTACGTTATGCTCGTGGCAGAGAGCCAATCCTTCACACCCAACAGGAAGTTAACAAGGGTTCTGGTGTCAAAACACAGGGGCTACATCTTCATTCAGACAGCTCAGCCAATTTATAACCCAGCAGACAGAGGTAAAAACAAAGTTAAAAAAAAATAAATGAAGCAATTCTACAGACTTT